GGGAGGTAGGAAGGGAGACAGGAAGGAAGGAAGGAAGAAAGGAAGGAAGGAATGAACGAGGAAAGAAATCAGGGAGGGAGGGAGATAGGAAGGAGGCGTGAAGGAGAGATGGAATGAAGGGGAGGAGGAAGGGGGAAGGAAAGAAGGAAGGAAGAGAGGGAGGGAGGAAGGAACGAACGAAGGGAGAAAGCAAGTAAGCGAAGAAGCAGGGGAGGAAGGAAGGAATGAAGGAAGGAAGGAAGGAAGGGAAGGAGGGAGGGAGGAAGGGAGGAAGAAGAAATTGAGGGAGGGAGGAACAACTACTGAAGAAGGTGGTGAGGAGTTTGGGTAGGTCAATGACAGGAACATGTACAAAATAAGAACAAAGAAAGGACTTTTGAAAAGTACCTCTAAAATCATTTGGATGATCTTTTTTGCGTTTGAGCATTGTTCTGCTGTTCCTCTTATGTGGACTTGGTCATCTCTGATGTTTAACTCTTTAACTCCACTTTGCTCCTTTATATCTTTTATTCTCCATCCCTTTTTCCCTATAATAATCCCTGCCTTGCCCTTGGGTATTGGCATCACTTCTTCTTGGTACTCTGTATTAACATCCTTGTCATACCAGCTTGGTTCACCATCGTTTCTTCGTCTTCGTGGAACATCTTTACCACGCTTTGAATCACCCGACATGGCCACTAAAGAGAATAAACAGTTTAGACAAATGTTATACATAATACTTCAGTTTGAACCACACTAATTGTATGATCAAGAAAACCGGTGCAGTAGTACAATCTGCCCCTCTTCACTGAGCTTGGAATGAAAGCGGTTTCGCCCAAAACCAAAGCGAAATGTACAGAAACAGGGCAATTTTCAGTTGACTTTGAGATGATTACGTGTAGACATGCTGGGGCAAGGTTGATTAGAAATGCAGCAGTCGCCTAACAAGATACCAAGGAAAAGTAGGAAGCCTTAGCCAAGAGGAGTAGTCAGTAAACGCAAATTGTGACTGTTTTCGGTGGCTCCCGGCTTCGTTTTTTCAGGAATCCTGGTCTGACAAGCTGGCGCAGCTTCTTTGATTCGTAGTTTTAGTTTCTGCTAGCGCGCACATTAATCATTTATGATCATGAATATGAGCGCGTGCATGTTTATCAGACTGATTGAATATTCTTCCTGGTTCACTTCATCTTTCTGATTCAAAGCGCAATGTGTTCGTACAGTATGCGTGGCTAGCGCTTTCACTTGCACGTGGAGGCAAAATACGCGGGCTGCTAGGTCGCAAAATGAGAGAAGCAAAGCCAAGAGTGATTGTGCGAAGTAATATCTGAAAAGCTCATAACGCGTATTAATTATGCATATACGAACTCTCCTCTTCGACTTGAATTTATAAGTCCGTAAATTTGCTACAATAGTCTCTAAATCTGTATATACATTACAATAAATGTTTTTTAACCAGGGTGACCTCTTCAGCAAAAAAAACTGATATCAATAACGGCCCTGCAAAAATAAAAGAACTTCAGTAAAAAAAAAGCCTTAAGAGCCTAAGTACAGCCACTAACTTTAACAGTAATTAAAAAGCTTGCGAGCTATAGAACTCTAAAATTCGAGTTTAAGGAATCATGACTGAGTTAAGATCCTTCATACTACATATTAACGGCCTATTGTCCTTTCAGAGAATTTCATTAACTATTTTTTCCGGACTGCCATTAACGCAGCCGATACTTTTTGGTCGTTACACTTCGCTTAGTAGGAAGACGTGTTGCGTGATTCTCCTGACATTCCGGGACGAGTCTTATTTCTTTTAACAGGCAATCGCGCTAGCCTAGGCATGCCTAGACCGGCCTCCATGTCTTTGGCTTCATTTCAAACGAGCCGTACGTATTATACTCTGAATCTAATTGTATGTAATACTTCTACAGAGTCGCTCATAGCGCACTACAGTGGTTATGAAGATAGCGGCTGTATTGTGAACGAAAAGCAACTAAGTTTTGACAATTCCTCGCACCTTAAATTAACGGTCCAACGAAGCGAACCCCTAGAGTCTTGTAGACCTTTCAGAATGGCGATTTGCTCCTCCTCTTCGCTCTGGTTTTTAAGTAAAGCGTTTTGATACCCTTGTTTCGTTATTTTTGACAAATTTGTTGATACAAGGACGCTCTTTCCGCTTCTAAGCCAGCTGCCTAGTAACTGCAGTGTCGTTTCGTCGAAATTGACCTTTAGGCTCGAGTCTTTCTCGGAAAAATGTGGGCCCAAAAACACAACAAATGCTTATTTAACAGGGGGAGGGATGGCTGTCAAATAATTATGATCCACGATTTCCCATTTTCATGTGTTTCATTTTCCAAAGAAACGAAGAAAAACTATGGAATGTAGCACAATGAAAATGTTATTACAAACCGGAAGTTTACGAGTAAAGAGGAAGCGTAATCGCGGCCGTTAAATAAGAAGACTGGTTCGAGGTGGGGACAAGTAGCTTTGTTACTAATTAGACTCTGATTAGGACTTTTTTTAGTCTAGAGCCGCGCATTATATTATTTAATATCGTTCCCAGAGCCCTTTCTCTTTGTCCACTTGGTTTTGCAGTAATATGTTTCTAGCCTTCTAATCCACTGGACTCGAGTTCGAAACCAGAGTAACAAATTAATCCGCATTTCCTTTACCTAAGGATATTTCATAGCTAAACACATTCACGGTCGTCGAACCAACCTCCGCTCGAGGCGGTACTGCTGTCTCAACCTGAGCTCGATGCGACAACTGGGCTTCCTATCCTGGGAGCCAAGAAAATACACTAATTTCAATTAGACAGGAAAAACAGTCACCCAATAAATTTTCACTCTCTTTGTTTTCCTGTGTTTTATTAAAGCTTACAAAGCAAGTGGCTCAGTAGGTGATTTGCATGATGACGTCATTTGACTACAACAACCAGAATCCTTTACTTTTTCCAAGGTGACTCTGAAGTCAAACCATTCCTTCACTGGCCACCAGTTACATTTATCTGAACTTCTCTTAGAAATTGTAAAAAAGAAGGTAGTTTGTCGACTATCNAAGGAAAAAACACTAACTTCAATTTGACAGTAAAAACAGTCACAATAAATTTCCTATTTCTCTTTGTTTTCTTGTGTTTTATTGAAGTTTACAAAGCAAGTGGCTCAGTGGGTAATTTGCATGATGACGTCATTTGACTACAACAACCAGAATCCTTTACTTTTTCCAAAGTGACTCTGAAGAAATTAAAGTCACTCTGAGTATTTTGTAACAAACAGTTGAGTCTGCATTAAAACCACCCCTTCACTGGCCACCAGTTACGTTTATCTGAACTTCTCTTAGAAATTGTAAAAAAGAAGGTAGTTTGTCGACTATCTGTTCTGGTTCCCAGTCATTTCCTTCAGCAAGCACCTGGTCCCATTCCTCACAGTGAAGATGTATGTCAGTCTACGCGGCAAAAGAAAGCAAAAGAAAAGAAAAGAAAATAAAATTAGTTTCTTACTTTGAGTGAGCGAGGGAGAGAATGCATGACTGGTCGAGATCAGTGCAGCTGCAGTGCAACGTTTCCTTTGCATACAAATTTTTTCAATTTTATTTACACTGCATATGATCACATTACATTTACAGTACTTTACTTACATTACAACGCCTGCTACTTACAACACAGTACTTAAATCTACTTAGAATAAGCTACATTACTAGTTTGTATCTATCACTGTGTACAAAATGTTATTTTACATCAATTACCAACTTACATTGCGCCATATTACTTACTCACAAACATCATTTATTACCTACGACATTACCTATTTAACGTTACATTACTTACTTGCAAACATCACTTACGAAAAAATCAATCTTAATCAGGGTTGCTTTGGTTAGGAGCTGAGAATTACAATATCGAAAAGATACACTTATAAAATCTAATATAAAGTGAAAAACCGATCTACTCCCTGGGCAGTTCACTTTTTGTATGGCGAACAACTTGCAGCAAAAAAAAAAAAAACTTTTTGATCGTTCCTTTGCGTATTGAAATGCTTCATATCAAACGGCGAGTTTTAAGCCAGGAAGCCGTTTTATGCATCTAAACTTTATGAGTACAGTGCACGTTCTGCTCTGCATGCAATGTCCTCCGGTATCCAGCGGTTCGTTACACTCTCCTCAAGGGAACAGAGCATTTGCGCTTGCAACAAACCGGCATGATTACATCACTATCTCTCTCTGTTAAAGTGGCGACCGCTCGCGATGAAAATACACTTGCGAAGAAACGAGTTCTTATGCTAAAATTCACGGTCCCTACAGTCACGAAGATACGCTCGTCTTCATCTCCTTGCACGAGAAAATGGAATTGTTTCAAAATAGTAATAATTGTGGGAAATAATTGCTGCTTGCACGCAAAGGAGGAACGGATGTTCACAAGAGACTATGATCTAGGATCGATTCTGGGCACTCGACTCCACAAGGCATCCCGAACATAAAATTTATGGGAAATCAGACAATAGAGAGTAGCAGGATTACCAAAAAAAGCTAACCGTTCACAGCAGGAAAAAAGCTCTACACCCTAAAAGTCTCGCGAGAATTCACGGCCTAGTTACTCTAAGGGAAGGTAAAACCTAATTTTAGAACAAACAGTTTTTTTAGAGCAACACTCTCATAGGGGGGTACCCCCACCCCTCCAGGGAAATGAAAAAGATTAAAAAATATCTAACTATGTGGATAACCCAACGTTTTCAAGATTGGCTCAAGTACTCTTGGAAAATTTACGGTGGCGCTGAACCCTACCTACAGAATGTTTTTAAACTTTGCCAAAAATTGCGTCCTATGCTTATCAAATGTTGACTATATAGAAAAAAATTCACCGTGCCGTTTTTGAATTGTAAGCCCCTAAAGCTGTAATTAAGGGTGTTTTTAGCAGGTCATACTGTTGCTATGGTAACCTATTGTGTTACGAAAATGATAACAACGTGTTCACCAATGGTTGGGCAGTTGTTTGATACCATGATTGTGGCATCAAGTGATAAAGAGTAGTTATAACGACCCATCAAAATCTGAGTGCTGGAAACTGTTTTGATCCACCTTAAATGACATGGAGAATTAATTAGCAATACTGACCTTTGTGGCTGCTGTATGAACGTCCCTCACTTCAGTCTCGACG